CAATGGTAGGAGTTTTAGATTTGGGATTGAATCCAAAATTTTATATTTTTTTAATATTATATCCTTATTTGACATCTAGCAGAAATTCAATTTCTCATTCTATTCTTCTTCAGCTTTTTCAAAACTAACCATTAAGTGTATCAATTGATTTGTGAACTAAAATGCCATCATCTGATCAACAAATTTGAACCTTCAAATGTTTTTTATTTCATTTACAAGCCTTAGGGATAAACATCTTTTACGCTTCTTTAATCAATCTCATTTCATTTTTGATTTGCCCCCCTCACTTTTAATTTTTTTTTTCAAAATAATACAAAGATCTTTCATATTATCATCAGTGATTTGTTCTTCATCATCATTACAATCCTATGACAAATGTAATCCATTACACTTTCTTAGTTCATTACACAAAAGGAAAAATAAATGGTGAAGACGAGAAATTAATAAAAAAAAAGATATTTATTATGATAACAAGTCTAGCAAGGAACAAATAGGAAAAGGAATAATTTCAAAGTAAATCATCAAGATAAGTGTTCAAAGAAGTTTACGTCATCCAAGATAATGAATATTCAGATAATTTTGAATAAATTAATTCAAAGTTTTTCTCAAAAACCCATTCCATTGATGTTCTTGATCTTTTAAGCTTATCGACTTCAAATGGTGCCCCTACTACATGGGATCTTCAAATGATATTAATCTTCACTCATTAAAACTGTTTTTCAAGTTTTCAGCTTAGATATATATATTTTGTACTTAAATCACCATTATGGGTTTTCAATTTAAGTCTTACTTTTTATTTTTTTATTAATTTTTTACAAATATTTTTCTTATATTTTCCCTCTCTTCATTTATTTTTCACTTCATTTATCATTGATATCTCCATCAAAAACCTAATCAATCTCATTGTTCTTTGATAGCGTCACAATCATGCCTTAAAATAATATATGATTTCTAATTTAAGTATTTATGTTTAATCAAAATAGACTTTTAAGGTTCATAATGTAGACTAAAGTGTGAGGTTATGAAAAATGGATAAATAGGCCAAAATTATTATTTGAAGGGTTATAAACTAAATTATCATTTTGTATCATATGAAACACCTTGGCATTTTGCCCTATCATTCATCAGTTTTTTCATTTTTCATTTTTTTCATATTTTCTCTTTCATCTTTTCATTTTGTATTTTTTCTCATTTTTTAAGAAAGATTCAAATGTTAAAAGGGCTTTCTCTTTTTCCATTTTAGATAATTTGAGACTTTCAATTTTCTTTTTGTGAAAATGTCATTTTTTTCTAAAATTTGCCTTTCAGTATTAAAGGGTGATCCTTGGTGGGTTTTTTTTTTTTTTTAAAGAAAAATCATAATAGGCTTAAAGTGGTGGTAAATGGATAATTTTATTCTATGTAAAATGTAGAAAAAAAAGGATGACTATTATTTCTCATCTTAAAAGTAAATACTCTCATAAAAAACATTTATTAAATAAGGGCAAGCTTTTGAATACCATTATAAAGGACTATATAGTATCTTACATTCATCTTTCAATGGGCAAAATTCCTCGTTAGTTTTCATTCATAAAACTTATCTTTTTTTTTTTTTTTTGCTTTAATAATCCCAACAGATTAAGAATATTGAATAATCAATTTCAACATATTAAAAGATGCTTTCAAAATTGAATCCTATATTATGATCATGATTGTCAGAATATTTGTTATTTGAAGTATGAGAATAGGTGAAATAAGAAAAGGTATATAAAGGCAGTAGAATGAAAGAGAAAATGTAATGAAAATGCATTTGTCATTTTATTGAAATGATGAAAGATAAAAAAAAGACAATAAATAAAAGAACTCTCAAACATTTATAAATATTTAAAGACTTGCATTTCTAAAGTGATAGACAATTATAAGAGCTTCATTAGAATAATGCCTTGTGTGGTTAGGCAAATGATTTCCAATAACATTTAACCTTGTTGGCTCGTGAAAGCTCACCAAACCTATTTTGATCAAACTTTGCACCTTGTGTTTGAAAACAAGCAACTTTTTCTGCAATGGCCCACATTTTTATTATGATAATCATAAGTGGCATTGGCATTATATCATTTGAGATGGGGCTGCTTCATAGGTTCTAAATGAATTAGTGATATTAGGTTATTTTTAACCAATTTCAAGAATAACTCAGTATATGTCATGTGGATAAGATCGATGTGAGCTCTCTCTCAATTGTTTCAAGGTTTCCTCGAACCATTTGGTTGGGTATTAGTTATTGAAACTAGTCTTGTAGCTAGTATAGTGGTAGGGCTAGGCATCTATGTAAGTATTTGAGGATGACAAGTTGGTTGAAAAGCTAAGGTATTGGCTAATAGGGATTAGGTTGTGACACATTACTTATCGAAGGATAATAAGGCTAGTATATTGGGTATTGGTGGTATGGGTAAAACCCTCATACTTGTTGCTCCTTATAAGTTACAAATTGAGTATTTCCTTCTTTCTTCTTTAGTGTTACCCCCTTTATTTGCATTAGTTGCATTACCACCTTCACGTTTACCATTCTTTTTTATATTTTTTATTATCTCCCTAAAATTCACCATGTTAATAAAATTTTTGGTGGCATTTTCAATCATACTTTCATAGTATGGAGCTTTAAAGTTATTAACAAACTAAATTATAGTATCTTTTTCAGTGAGTAGTGGTGGTTGGACTCGAGTAGTAGCATCTTTCTACCTCTAAGCATATTTTTGAAGCTTTTAATATTTTTCTTTTCCATGCTTTGTAAAGACAGATCGTCTAATGCCAAATCTATGATGCGCTTATATTATGCAATAAAGGCCCTTGCTAGTTTCTTTAGCAATGGATTTAAGTTTTATCTAATTGGATATACCACTTTGCAGTAGATCTAGTGAGACTATCTTGAAAAACATGAATGAATAGCTTCTCATCATGTGCATATACAACTATCTTACAACAATACATTATGACATGTGTTATATAGGACATTTAGTTTTGTCATATTTTTTCGAACTCATGCACCTTGAATTTAGGTGGAATCACTATTCAAGAACTAAGCATAATCCAGTAGCATCCATTGAGCCATAAAAATCCATCCCTTTAATAACTCAAAGCCTTTCCTCTATGAAATCTATTTTTTGTTAAGATTTATAGCCTTCTTTGGTTTCTAGTGTACTTATTTTCAGCTTTTCTTGTTCCTTTGGATAATCCAAATGAGGAACTTGAGTTGGATCAGATGTTTGCACATTAGGAAAAAGAGTGTTATGTCCTTAAAAGTGAGTAGGAGCAGCAATCGAAGGCATACCAATATGTATAGGGATAACCTCCTGTAAATGGCATTTTATTGATGGAATACTTTTCTTGACTTCACAATATTTGACAACTTTTAATGGTGAAATTTTTGTCACTAAAACTGTTTTTCATTGATAAAGTGGGTATTAGCAATGGAAAATTCTGTCACTAAAACTCTATTTTCTTGTGATGATTCTTTTAGAATTGGTTTCATTTTCCTAGAGCAAAAGTTAACATGATCATTAACAAAAGTTTTAGCATAAGGGAATCAAACAACAATTTTCAATGGCTTATTTAGAAGACAAGACAATGAATTCAAAATGGAAATAAAAGAAAACTAATTAAACTCAGAGACATTGCCTCGAATTAGTGTTGTAATCAAACATGTTGATATTGACAAAGAATAGCTATTATTGCTACTGGCTTGGAAGGAGCATCATTGGCTGGAGTTAGGGTTAATGGATCGAGACTCAAAATAGAGAGAAAATTTTGGTGATGAAAGCTTAAAGAAGTAGGCAGGAAAGGAAAATGATAGTTGCTTGGAATCTAGGATGGGTTGGGGAGAAGTATAAGGGCGCTGCTTATTGGGATTTGGAAAGGAAAATAGACTGAGAAAGGAAGCATATGAGATTTTAAGAATATGGAATGAGTTTGAAGAGTAATGTTTAGGATTTTTTGGTACATTATTCAAGGGTAAAATTATAATTTTTAATTAAAATAATAAATATATATATTAAAATAAAAAACTCTATTAGGCCATGAGTCACTTGATTACTTGAGTGATTATGATTCTTGAATTTAAATTAATCAATAAGTCTAGTCATTCAAGTTTAAACATAACTCAACAATGATCAAACTGAATTCAAATTTTATTTAAATCGAACTCAAATAACTTACGAATACATAGATATTATTTACATTCCTAACTCAAACACAAAAAGCATTAGATTTCACCCAAACCCACTAAGACTTGAGCTTACCTTTTTCGAGAAATGAACTCTTTTTTGACAATAATTGAAAACCCTACCTTCGCTTCTTGTTTCGACTTTGATATAAAAATTTCAGTTTAATCTCTAGGCGAATTGGTCACTAACCGAATCACTTGAGTATCCCAAAATCCTAAATAATTGTTTATACCAAAATCTTAATCCTTAATCGACTTTCTAAACAAATTATGAATATCCGCTTCAATATCTTTCTTTTCTCGATACAAATCTCTAAATTTGTATTCTTTTTTATTGCTCAAGGCCCTAAATCTCTCTATGCTCAAAACCATAAAAAAATTAAACATAGTTTTTTACTCTCACCACTTATTCTCATCCATTTTTTCTAATCCAACGTGGCATGTGAACCCTAATCTAGCGCGACCTTTCTCGTTCAACTTATTTAGACTACGCGTGACACGACTTTCAATTCTTGAAAGAAAAAAAAACGTCATACTTTTTTTTAACGAAAATGCTCAGGAAATGACAAATATTTAATGGTACTTTTTTTAAAAAAATAAATGCCATATAAGAAAATTTAATAAAATTTAATAAAATTCAGAGACCAATTCACACATTAACCCGAAATAATAATATCACCCTCGAAACTTCGTAAAGGTGTCTAGCATTTTAATTTTCACTTTTTAGTTATTAAGACCCATAATATCTGTTTCATCAAATGGAATAACTCTCATGAACCCAGCACAATTTCATTTCCTTTATAAATTACGCATTAAAATTAATAAAGATGTTTTATCATGAATTCAAATACATGACGAGAACCAATTCGAAGGGTATCATTTTATGTACCTATAGCACAATCTTATCTCGTAATAATAATGCCAATACATGACCCTTCAATGGTTCATTATTATATTCATACATTTATTTGCTTAAAGCATTAAAAAAAAAAAAAAAAAGCTTAGGCCAAGTGATTAATTGCATTAAAACCTCAATATGGTAGGTCAAAAACTACAACCAAAAATACTAACATCTCTCTTATTTCAGATTATAAGAAAAAAAAAATAGAGAAAACCAATGATATACATCAAAATACCTAGATGTATATGTGCAAAATACCTAAGAACTTAAAGGTAATGGGTGGTGTATGATAGTGAGCACCGCCATTAGATATAAACAAACTCTTCACAGAAACACTGGCGCCATAACAAGCGTTATCGTAGCAAGCATTTTTATGAGCACATGAAGCGACGGTCCAGCTGTATCTTTGAATGGGTCTCCCACACTGCAATCCAAGTTCAAACATCATACTTTTTATTGCTGAAATTTTCAATTATGATAAATGCTTTTTTTTCTTCATTTCCTATTAGTATTTCATTCATGGTTTTAACAATAAAAAATAGCAAGCAAGGGAGAAGGATTGAAATCTTCAAACATTGCAAGTTTGTGCAGAACGAGAAAAACATATGAGACAGTCAGGTTGACCAGAGATCACTGAGGTTTCCATAGCACAATTATGCCTAATATTCATATCAGTATCTTAATTCTTTTTCTTGTTTAGGTGAACATCAAACCAAAGAATTACCCTGCCTTGATCACTCCGGACGAGCCCCTGCCAACAATCCAGATTCATAAACCAAAACTACACTACTAAACTAATTGCTTCTTTCTCCCAGGCCTAGCACCTCACCATTATGAAAGAAAGAAGAATATAAGGGGATAAAAAAAAAAAAAAGAAGGTGCAAAGAACTTACGTATCTCCAGTAACTGCAGCTTTATGAGAATCACTGCCTTTGCCACCAAGAGCTCCTGTCTCGATAAACTTCTTTGCATTATCCCATGCACCACCAGCTGTGTTTAGAAAGAGAGCCATTAAAATACCAGAAACGGTTGCAAACATCAGCAGAGCAGCTACAACTTTTGCTCCAAGTAGAGGGCGTCCGGTATAGTGACCCAAAACACGGAATAGAAAACCTGCAAATGGTTACGTAGAAATTACATAAGTTGAGAGGGCACTTTATTTAAAAAAAAAAAAGCATTAAAGTAGCACCGTAATTAATGCTTAGATCACCTAAAAATAAACTAAAGTCACCAGAAAATTCAAGAAATCACTTTAATCATCTAATCTTCTTCATTCTTTTTCTTTTGGGTAAAATAATCTCCTACATTCTTGACATGATTCTAGAGACAACCATAGCTAACAGAATGCCTGATTCCAGCAAGAATATGATTCCACAAGTGTATTACAGTGTAGTAAAAAGAAATATTTTAAAGCTTGAAGGCGTTTAGAAAAAAATTCAATTTCCACTAGATCAAACAAGCAATACTACCACAAACAAATGAAGGAAATAGGATTAGAATGCACAGCTGCTACCACTAACACGACTACTGCATACCAACAAGACTGCTAAATCTAAATAATGATTAATGAAGCAAACAGAACAAAGAAGGAACACTAGGAAAAGGAAAAGCTACAAGAAAAATGAGAAGGAAACGAAAGAAGGATTAATAAGAGAAATAAACAAACCAACCCATGACTGAAGAAGTAAATAATAATCAGCAAAGAGCAATTGACGCACCAACTACTATTGGTGACACTATAGCTAAAGCACCGGGTTTTATCATCTCCCTCAAAGATGCAGATGCCACAATAGCAACACAGCGACCATACTCTGGCTTCTCCTTGTAGTCCTGCGGCCAGTATGTCAAGACAAAAAAAAAAAGCACAACAGTGTCTGGATTTACATAAGAGAAAAGGAGAGAAATGATAGTAGAAGCAACATGATTTAAAGCAAAAATCAATTAATCTACATTTGTCTACGTTGGAGCTTATTGATAAAATAGAAAAGCTTAAATCTCTCTATTATCTTTCTCCCTTTGGTAAGATTTGACAAGGATAAAAATTTCAAAAGTGGATTATGGAAAAAAGATTGTCCTACATCATTTTTCTCTTCTTTTCACTTCTCTCATGATTCTTATCCACACAAGAAATATTTTCCAATATCTCTTGCTGCTCCTAATTCAAATACAATATAAAAGCCAAAGGTCAAAGTAAACCATGAATGGCAGTCAGAAACTTCAACCCACCATGATACCAGGCCTCTCAATAAATTGCCTTCTTACTTCCTTAACAACCTCCTGAGCAGTTCGGCCAACTGCAGAACAGGCCCATGCACTAAATAAAAATATAAGCATGGAGCCCAATAATCCACCAATGAAAACCTCAGGAATGGCAATATCGACCTGAGAGTTGAATAGAACTATGAATATCAGAAAAGAATGAAAGACTTAGCAGAATAACTAACCACAGGCTCCATTGGTTGCCACTTTTGCTACATGCTTTTTACATTTTTATTTGATTCTCAGAAGCACTAATTCAAACATTATTATTGCACCTATAAGTAAAGACATGCATTTTCCTTTTACTAATTTATTCAAATGTTGCTTCTTCCTTTTTGCACGCATAAGTGGTAAACCAAACAGAGCCTTCATTAAAGCAGAAGTACAGTAACACAGACCTGTTTAAAAGATTCATGAGCAAAAGATGCGACCTCATCCATATATGCACTAAACAGAAGAAAAGAAGCAAGTGCTGCAGATCCAATCGCAAAACCTTTGGTGGTAGCTTTTGTGGTGTTCCCAACAGCATCAAGGATATCCGTGATCTCTCGCACACTCTCTGGCTGTACAAGACATAAGTAGCTAACATAAATACTACAAAAAGAAGAAAGTGGAATATATAGATTGATAACAGGAAAATCTAGAGAATCAACTATATAGTACCTGCTGACTCATCTCTACAATTCCACCAGCATTATCAGCTATTGGGCCAAACATATCCATGGTTAGAATATAGGCAGCAGTGCTGAGCATTCCCATTGTTGCTACAGCAGTGCCAAACAACCCACCGGTAGGATTTCCAGTTTCATCCACCAGTCCTGAGGTGTGACCCAGCCAAAATGCAGAAATAATAGATATACTTATCACGAGAACAGGAAGAGCTGTTGATTCCAGGCCCAAACTGACTCCAGCTATAATGTTAGTCCCATGTCCTGTGGAGCTAGAAAGAGCTAATGTGCGTACAGGCTCATGCTTGTAGTCAGTGTAATATTTGGTTATCCAGACAAAAACATACGCTGTAATGATACCAACCAACCCACACAAGGCAAAGTTCAACCACGCAGAAGGTGCTTGTTCAGTATAAAGCAACCACCATGTAGACTACAATAATTTCAAAAAAGAACAAAAAGTCATGAATGAGGTTTTAACCAAAATAAAGGAATAAAATTTGCTATATTTCAAAACTTTATCAGAGAAAACAGAAAAATTACAGCAATATGTTGCACTTATAGATGATATATTACCCCAGAAAATGTCAAAACAGACAAAACTATTGTAACAGAGTATCCTTTCTGTAGGATTGCCATTGGATCTTCTATTGGAGCTTTCACACTGGAGTCACGTGTGCTCCTAATTGAAAGTATTCCAATTGATGATACCACCAGGTCAAATGAGTGCACAACAAGAGGAAACAGGATGAAGCCAGATGGATCTGCATAAATATCAAAGATGAGACCACAGCCAAAAAAAAAAATAGAGAACCCATTCAACATAAGGAATATGCCAAAGCCAAAAGCAATATAAACTGAAAGAAAGAACCAAACTTCTAACTGAATGGGAAATGTTTTTGATGCTGTCTCTCAGTTAGATTGATGCAGGTATGAATCTTTATTATAACTACAATCAATAGACTTACTATCAAAAACCAACAAACTTAGTTCTAACACCATAGGGATGCATACTTCTGCAGACCCGCTTTTTGATAAGGTTGGTTTGAATACAGCAAATGTTACCAATGAAGACAAGGGATGTCTGACTCCTAGTTAGAGGCATATTTTAATTTGTTTCCCTTGTCCATCAGGTAACAGCCAAATAACACTAGTTATGCATTTTTACTACCATCTTTTAAACCTCACTAAACCACACTAACAAAACATGAAATAGGACACAAGAAAATCGTCTCACCAAATTGGAGATTTCAATTCCTTGTACCGGTCTGGTTATATTTAAACTTTCATCTTATGGTAAATGATTTTAAAAACAATAAAATGATATAAATTCTACAGTTTGCAGTCATCCTAGTTAAGCAATAGCAAATTTCACAACATTTAACGGTATAAAAATATTACAACTACATTGAAAATCAGTGGTAACTTGCACTTGCCTTTAATTTTACAACGCTGAGCCATTGTTCCTCCAAGTATCATGGCACTAATTATCTCTGCAGCAATGCTTTCAAAAAGATCCGCACCTCGAGCAGCACAATCACCAACATTGTCCCCAACCTTCAATGCAAGAAGAAAGATTCAAGTACCAAACATAACCAACAAGATAAAATGTGTAAAAATTTAAAAAGTTAAAATAAAGATAAAGCAGAAACGTTATTGAAGTTTATTTGACCACATTTCTTCCAATATTTTTTTGCAGTACGTGTGTTCATCCACCTTATTGAACTGCATTCGACCTTTAATTTTTTCTTAAAACAATTTTCATATGGATTACTCTAGTTTTCTCTAAAACTAGAGGATTTAAATTCTTTACGGTAAAGCAATATAGACTTCTAAAAAACATTTTTAAAAAAAATCCACTCCCCCTATAACTCACATACAGTTGTGCTATCATAATTAAATCTTTAACAAAATCACAATTCCTTTTAAAAAACAGCTTCGAAACAATGCACACCATTACTTTCAACTACTACAACTATAAACCTTCAGTCCAGTGCATAAATGAGAAAAAATTTTCAGCATATGAAAACAGGAAATTAAATGAAATATGCACAAGCTTTACATTCACATTTTTCAACTCAAAACTAAACTAATAATATATAAATATGAGGGGAATAAAACCATGTTACAGCAGACTCCAAATGATTAGTCATATCTTAAGCATTGACCCATAGTAAGGAATTGAATGAAGTTGAAAATAAAGGTACCAAATCTGCAATTACAGCCGGGTTTCTAGGATCATCTTCAGGTATCCCCTGTTCTACTTTTCCAACAAGATCTGCCCCAACATCAGCTGCTTTTGTATATATCCCACCACCCAACTGAGCAAACAGGGCAACAAATGAAGCTCCAAAACCATATCCCACCAGAAGAAGAGGCACTGAAAGAAAACAAAAGAAATCAACCAAGGTATCATCAGTACCAATGATTCTGAAACACATGATAATGCTAGCTTGAGGTGCACACAGAATCAAACAGCCTCAAATCAGATTCAGCCATGCATGCATACAACCCAACATACAGGCAAATATACATACACAGATCAGTTCATTATTGCAGCCAAGATAGCACTTGAATTTCTAAATCAAAACAGTTCACCATTTGAGACAAAATTAAACAATATGAACTGTATTGCGAAAGAAACACAGAAATTCAGAAACAAAAAGCAAATAAGGAATAAATATTAGCAACAATATGTCAAGAATCAAGAATAACATGTTACCAAAACACAATAATATTATACATAAGATATTAAATCATATAGCAATAGGTTTCAAAGCAGACACGTGAGACAGATTTTTCCAAAACATACAATATTTGGTAAAATTAAATTGATAGAAAGATTCAAGGTTTCTACAGTCATTCTAACTCAAATCAAGAAATTAAAGAGAGAGAGAGAGAGAGAGAGAGAGAGAGAAAGAGAGAGAGAGCAACTCAAGTCATTAACTTTGGCAAGAATATAGTACTTCTACACAGAACATCAAAGAATTTAGTACAGTTACATCATCATCATCAAGAATATTGTCTTCTTGTAGCACGTTTTTATTCCAATTCTAAGGAATGTCCAATCCTACCACCTTTCTCCATAGTTTTGTATTTTGTTAGAAATTCATACAATGTTCATCTGCACTATTCATTTTGACGATGTTTGGTACAGGGTGCTTACCCCAAAAACCATGGTGATCTAAACATAATGATTAGATCACCGTGTTTGGTAAGCATTCGGTGATCCTACGTGGTGGTGATCTTGAATCATCAAAAGTGATCAGATCACTAGATGATCTAATTTCCTTTCAAAAGGATGGAAAACAATTATCACTGAGGTGAAGTGATAAGTAAATTTAACAACAGTCAATATTACCCATTTAATATGTGAATTAAAAACTTACTTCTTCTCAATTTTAATTATTTATATTATAAATTTTTATATTTTCAAACTAATATTCATTGTAACAAATTCAAAAACAATTTGTGTGCTTTCTTTTAACTTTTTAATGTTATATATATAATCTTTTTATTTCTCTTTTGTTATGATTTTAATAAATTAGTTTTATTTTCTAATTCAACTTTTTTACATAATTTATATTATAAAAATTAATTTATCTATCAATAAATATTTTTTGTTAATTTAATAAATAAAATATTTTTGCTAATTTAAATAAACTATTACTAATATTTTACAAATTATTATCTTTAAACAAAATTGAAATTATTAACTTGTATAACTATTACAAATTTACAATACGCATGGTTATTTTGGTACTTTTAAAAATAATATTCTATTTTTAAGAATAGCATATCCAGTGAATTATAATTTCTAAGAATTACTTATTATTAAACAAATAAAGCAATTACAAATCGTAAGTGATAAAATCACCTTGCTAATAAGATCACCTCAATGATTAAATTACCATGGAGATTTTGAAAATGATATCAAATGCTACCTTCATTCATTAGGAAAAATGTAGGCAATCAACAACTACCATAAAGAAGTCCATACTAAAAGCCACTGACAAATATAACTAAAACCCAACTCTTAGCTATTCTAAGCCTAATGGTCACTCTTGATGAATTTATAAGACAATGACCTATCTTAGATGGCTAAGACAACTAATTACTACCTACTTCCATCAATATGGAAAAAACAGAACCAACAGAGTCATGCTTATAGTCTTATCAAATTTCACCTAGGGAAGATGAACATTCAAGAAATCTCAAGATGTTCTCAATATACCACTGTATGTAGAAAAAGATAGGAACCATGCAATAGGAAGATTCATCTGCGTAAAATGCATTGATTCAAATCAATTAAAGAAAGAGGAAATTAATTACATACAATCTGTAACCTTCATTGAACCAGGTGAATCCACACCCAACCAAACATAAAATGTTGCATAAAGGATGGCTATACCAATCACAGCCATACCAACGACCACCAAGGCAGAAAAACCACCAGCACGGACAGCTATCTGCATGTCACTTTTGCACTTAGTATTCAAATCTGCAAGCATCCAGAATAATATGAAATGACAGGGATACAACCTGCAATGCCTCTCTTGCAGACCGTCTTGCAGCACTTGAGACTCGGACATTTGCACGAACTGATACCCACATCCCAACATACCCAGTGACACCTGAACATAAAGCCCCCAAAAGAAATGCAGCAACAGTGATATATGCAGATGTTGCCCTGCAGCAGCAAGTAAAGGAATAAAAAATTTGTCACCTAAAGAAAAGGAAGTGGAATGTGTTTTTACATATTGTTCATATATATCATCACCTTCCTAGGCCTGAAGATTCTTGTTGAGGAGTTGTATTGCGAAATAAATATATGCTAAGAATCACTAGTGCTAGCAACAATGCCATCTTGGAGATAGTACCATACTGTGTCCTGAAGAATCCCTCTGCTCCATCACGTATAGCCTCTGATATCTAGAAAGAAAAAGTGATAAGCTCAGTAAAGTGATAAGGAGGTAGCTAACAAATAATAAGTTCTTAGTAGCATTTTAAGGATTAACAAAAAGATGATAAACAATGAGGGAAGCCTACTTCCCTTTGACCAATATATTTAAAATGTGACAAAGCAGTAAGAAACATAGTATTCTTAGCCTTTAAAATTTCTCTTTGTTCCAAATTCAAACAATGAAGAAAGCCTAGATTTTTCTTGTTCTATGTTAGAATTTGACATAAGGCTTCATCACAAAAATTAATGATGGAGAACATTCTTGTTCTGCACCAATTAAACTACCTGCAAACCTGAATTGTACAAAAAAACTTTCTGAAAATTTTGTTTTATTTGGATATGATTGATTTTAAATTAAACAAGCAAAAATTTATCAGGCATTGACAATAAAACTTTCTAATTAACAGTTCCAAATACAATCTCAAGGTATAAAAAACATTTTTAATTTGGAGAAACATTGAAAACTTAATAATTAATGATGGTATAAATATAAAAAGTAAATATAACAACAATAAAACAAACAGTTAGATAAAGCACTTATTACTAAATTCTCCAACAAAATATTTTAATAACTGATTTGAGAAGAAAGCTTTGGTTTTGCTTATCCATCTTCCCCCTTTACAGTCAGTTATTTAACAGCCAAACAGCAATATTCTGCATGAATAGTGCACTTCGAATGGTAGCTAAATTTAAAAAAGCATAATGTCCTTTAACCACGTACCAAGCATATCATATCATGTTCATAATTACTGAGCCAGTAAGTCCAGTATATAAGTCCAGTATCCATATTAAAAGCTACTGCAACTAGAAATCAAAGCCATGCTAAATTTGATAGCAACAAACCAAACATTTTGTATATTGGCAAACTTCATGATGTCCAAAGACGCAGCGTGTTGTCCATTTCTTTTCTTTCCCAAACTAAACTTAGTATCTAAATATTGCAGTACATTCAATGCAATCATATGATCAATGTCATCATATTTGGTTTGAAATTTGAAGAATTGTTTGAAAAGATAAAGTAAATATCATAGCAAATGTCTCCATAAAATTTACTAACTTAAAAACCAGCAAGTTGAAGGAATTGATAGTTATAAAAGAAAAAATTATCTAGAGAAGCATTCATTAAAATTATTCTAGGAGCATAAAAAGAGCTTGATATTATGAGGGAAATTTTCTTTTTCAGAGAAATTTACCTGAGCCATCTCTGGAGGCCCTTCATCCTTTGAAAGTACCCACTTTGCAAGATATATTGACAAAAGGAAGCTGATGATGCAAACTGAGAAGACAAAAACAATGATTGGAGAAGTACTTGCTCCAACATAAAAGACATATCCAAAGCCCAAAAGGAGAAGTATAACAAGAACACGAACATTCATTCCCATAAGAATTCGAAAAATCTGCACAAAGGAATTAGTTAATTAAAGTAAGCATAATGAGGAGAAAAAGTGTGTCCTACAAGCCAGAAGGAGAGAGAAAGATTAAACATATGCCTAGCCAAACATGAAAATAGCAATGAAAAATAACATGATTCTCCATAAAATCCCACCTATAGGGCTGGCATCACTGGTTATTTTTCTGACAAAAATACTCAGCTGCACATTTTATTAACTTGTTTGTACAACTCTACCAGTACTAGTCAAACTGCCATTCGCATCAATTCAACAGTCTCTCTGAATCTCAAGCTAAACTTCTTTTCCATTTTTATTGCTAAGACCAGAAAATTCTAAGCAAGGATGTGTTTCTATCATGTTAAATTCCAGAACACCACAACAAGGAAATGGCACCTTATGTCAAGTGCCATAACACCAGAAACAGGTTGACACACACACACACAGACATATATATACAAGACAACAATCAAGGATCTTAGTTGCAGTTGAAAAGGAAGTAATATGGCAATAAGAATTAGGATATAATTTTGTGGATTTCATAACAGGAATTCGAAATACCAATTGTCCTAGAGAAATGCTAGAATGAGCATTCTCGCCAAGGAAGTCTTCAAAACATTGCTGGTAATATCTCAGCTTACTGAAAGTATATAGGTAAAATATAAATAATATAAAGCATTATACCAATGCCACTGCAGATTGAAATTGGGCAAAATGGGTAATAATTAAATATCTCAGCTTACTGAAAGTATGTAGGTTAAATATAAATAATATAAAGCATTATACCAATGCCACTGCAGATTGAAATTGGGCAAAATGGGTAATAATTAAATATCTCAGCTTACTGAAAGTATATAGGTAAAACACAAATAATATAAAGCATTATTCAATTATTCCTATGCCACTGCATATTGAAATTGGGCAAAATGATGACCAACAGTGGTCAATAAGACACTTGACATCGTTAATTCATGCCAAGCTAATTCCTGTTTTCCCAAAATAGTTAAACCAGGTATAGGTCACAACAAATGCAGGATCAAAATGAATTACTACATCAAGAAAAAGGGAAAATGAGAAAGAAAGAAAAAAGACATTAGCCGAAAACTCAAAATGCATACTCCAAAACTAACAACTACATTCTGAGACAAACATAAGGTCCTTACCAAGGGGGTATAGGGTTTGCTACGCATGTTAGGAAATGTCCTTGGCCTATCTTGGTAAGGCCCCAGATTACCATTCTCGACATCATCTCCCATCATCGTGGTGCTGGTAGAATTCACCCTCCGAACAACAGGAAAAGAGTTATACTCCCCAGTATAGGGCAAATCACCCCCTGAACTTGGTTGCTGAATTTTTAATGATTTAGTTTGTCCAGAGAAAGACTATGAATTCACCTGAGATGTTATGGGTCTTTAAAATAACAGCTGATGTATTCTAGGTTCAATAGCTTCTACTCTGGCTTTTCCTCCAAATTTCTAGATCCAGTAAAAATTATTCATATTCAGGCCAAGGATTTTTAGACACCAGTTGATATTCCTGCATAAAGGTCAAATCAAACAATTAGTAGTGAAAACTTGATAAAATAGGAAAACAGACACAAATTTCCAACATTTGGAGTTAGATAAATTTGGACCAAGCACAAACTACAAACATTTTGATGAAGTAATACAATATCTAACTAATGAATAAGCCACTTTTAGCCATATAAATAGAAAAGTGGTTCTAAATTCACAACAAAGTCCTTCATATAGTGATAGCTAATAAATTCAGAAGTAATAAAAAAATCATTAATTTTTATTTTTTTATTCTAAGCAAAAGGAAGATGTTAAATACTAGCAAAACACTAGGTTCTAGCCCTATGCACAAGGGCAAGGAGATTATACCTTTTGCTTTTTGGAAAATAGGGGGGTATACTTTCAATACAGTGCCTTGTTTTGGAAAGAAATATAGAGGAGCCCAAAATTCTAGGTCCATAGGCCTAGCAATGAGACCATGGAAGTACTCTACACTGCTCAGAAGAAAATCTAACATTTGTAGTTATGCTCACTTTTCTTTTACTCAATATTAAGCAGCAAAAGACCCTACTTATGATTGTAAATAAATAAAAAACCCAAACCCAAGAAAAGGTGGAAAATAATTACTTAGACTAAAAGATCTGGAAGGAAGAAAATAAGACTCATGTATTCTACTGAAAATTAATATTTAATCAAAAAATATTTTTAAAAAATCTCAAATTACTGTCAACAAATCGCCTAAAATGCCAATTCAAGCTTTGCTTGGTTAGGGGGGTGGGAAGCGGAGAGAAGGATAAAGTTTGAATCCAGTGGTTAAGCTAAAAAGTTGAAAGGTGATAATAAAACATAATGATTAGATTAAAAATTTTCCATCATTCCCACCAATCAAAGCCTCAACCTAAAGTATTCAAACATCCTCCTACAAGACCACCAAAATGTTATCTAATCTCCAATTAACCGACTCACTGTCCTCCATTGCATTAACAATGAAATGCCATTAGAAGCTAATGGTTAGTCAAAAATAAAGTAGAATTTCTATTTTTTAACCCACCTGTTTGCAAGAATCCAACAATATATTGTTTCGCATTGGCATAAACAATAACAATAGTAATTCAACTTAAACTGCATAATCTCAGTTCAACATTCATGAATCATGATATTTTTCTCGTTTTTTTTTTTTTTTTTTTGGTTTTCTTCCCATTTTTGGACCTCCATGAATGATTACGATAGCAAAAATAGGAATCAATGAACGAGAAAAAGATAATCCGAGTTAGACTAACAACTACTAAATTTCAATTTTCTCAGGTTCCAAACAATTCTCATTTCCGACATTTCATCAATAAAACGACGGAACATAAAGGAGCCTCCCTAAGAAACATAAGGACATCAGATCCAAAGCCAAAGTCCTAGATTCAGAGTATTGCATGATTTGATCCTCAAAATAAATAATTAGATCTATAAGAATTTTTTTAATTACACATACCGTTTTCAACGGCTGCAGCGATACCGGATAACCGCCATTAACCTGAAAAAAAAAGAAAAAGAAGGAAAGCTAAAATGCTTTAAGCTCTCTCTCTTTATATCTGCGAAATTTTGCAGACTTTTTTAGAGAGAGGAAGTGTAGACTTTTCGCGAGAGAGAAAATGTTTTTTTTTTCAATTTTTTTTCTTTCTTTAAAATTAAATTCTGTATTTTTTAGTCTTGTGAAAAAAAAAAAAATCTTTTGGTGGCACAAACCGGACTCTGCGTTTTTTATAGCATTAAAGAATTTGGAATATTCTGCCATGTCAGCGCAGCCAACAGTTTTCTTACCTGTAAGCTGTTTTGGCAACAAGGAGCTTTTTTTTTTATTTTATTTTTTTTTAAGGAATTTTTTCAAAATAATGCCGTCAAAAGTCTTCACATAATCTTTTGGAAATTTTTAACAAAATAATTTTTATTTACTTTTCATAATTAATTTAAGAGTAATTTCATCTAAAACCTTCAATTTTGAATATAATTTAATACAAATCTATTAATTTAAAAAAAAACAACCTACCTCAAAGTTTTTAACTCCATTAATAAAATTTAAGTAAATACAAAATTACCTCTTAAACCTAAATTTATTATATTTATATATTATTTTTATTCTATAAATCTATTTGATATAAAATAACCAAATTGTTTGTATTTAAATATTAACCCCTTTAACTTAGGCTTAATTATTATAAAAATTGTCAATTTAAGTTTGTCATCATTATATTTCATAAACCTATAGATTTAAGTTTAATATACACACACACACACGAGTATTATAATAACTAAATCGAATTTAAAAAATCCAATCATAATCTTTTTTTTTTAACCAAACTTTTTTCATAGTTATTTTTCATTTTTTTAAATTTTTATATGTCAAAATAATAGTACATGCTTAATATATTTATTTTGTTATACATATATTTACATATTAATGGATTTATAATTGTAAGTTTTGTTTTTGTGTGTTATATTTAAAATTTTTTTGTTATTAATAGTTTAGTATACTTTGAGAAAAAAATAAAAATAATTTATTAATATAAAACATTACTTTATGTGAGTATTTGATAATATTGATTTTTTTAAGGGTAAAATGATCGTTAAAGGAGTTTTTTAATGAAATAATTAACAAATCACTTATCGAATGACCTACTTGTACTGTAAAATTGAAAAGTTTGTGACAAGTTGTCAATTTTTTAAACTAATGGATTTATGTTGAATTATATTCAAAATTAAAAGACCTAGATGAAATTTACCCTAAATTTAATAGTTAATATATAAACTTTAATTGTAAGTAAAAATTCTTAATTAAGAGGAAAACATAAGTGGTGATTTTTTAGAGAATTCATAGATAAAGAACTTTTCTTCATTTTTACTAAGAGAGTTGGAAAGATTTTGTATACATTTTCTAATAAAAATATTCTTATTTATTTCTTTAAAAATGACTTTAATAAATTTATATATTAAAATGAAAACACAAATAGTGATTTTCTTAAAATTCTTAGATAAGGAAATTTTTTTCAATCTTACCAATAGAGTTAGGAAGATTTTGGAGAAATTTTTCAATAAAAACATATTTATTTATTTCTCTAAAAATGACTTTAATAAATTTATATAGTGAGTAAAAACTTTCTCATATGATGGAATTAAAACAAAAACACAAGCGATGATTTTCTCGAAAAATCCTAAGTGAATTTTTTTTTTTCAATTTTACCAAATGTTTTAGTAGGATTTTGAGGAAATTTCATGCTAAAAGAGGATTTTTATTTACTTTTAAAAAATAAATATTAGGTATCAAAATCAAAAATTAAAAAAAATTAAGAGTAAAAGATTATTTAGTTAAGCCTAGTCCTAGAATAAAATTATTACCATTTTGGGATGAGCATTGTAAGGATATTAAAACTTTTCCCATATATAATCAAACTCTCAAATTTAATTTTATTTAAAAGGCCAAATTTTATTTTTTTAAGAACGTTCAGTAAAGCTTAGGACACCTAATTTAAAAAGATTGACAGTTACTCTATTTTGTACTTGTGATCCAGTTGACTAAGATGTTATGACATGTAGACCCTCATGACCTAATTAGTTTTATCATCCTATTCATAAATTTTCAATTTATAAAAATAATTAAAATTAATAAATTAAATTCATGTCTAATTACCATATGTTTTTGTCTCCTAGCTCATTTTCGTGCAACAATTATCCATGTTAGAACATAGAAGAAAATTTTTATTTTGTTAAGGATATTATTAAATTTTTATTGTAAAAAATCTTAAGAGATTAAAGAAGATTCAAGAGAAAGAAAAATGAAAAAGAAGAAATGGAAGAGAAAGGAGATGTGAAGGTGGAAGGGGAAAGGAATATTAGAAGAAGAAAGAGAAAGAAGGAAAAATAGAGGAAAATTTAAGAAAAGTTGGAAAAAAAAGGAAGCAAAATAGAAAAACCAAAGAAAATAAAAAAGAGAAAAAGTTAGGAGTTTAGCAGCTAGAAAAAGAAATAGAGGTAAAAAAAAAGCCAAAAAGGGAAGAAAGTTTGTTGGCTAGCAAGAAAGAAGAGAGAGGTGGTTTTCAAGTGGTTAGTCAAAAATTTTTTGTATTCTTTATTTTGTTCATTTTTTTTTTTAATTTGCTAGAGACTAATTTGGTTCCTAAGAAAAATGGGTAAAAATGAAAGGTAAAAATGTAAGATTTTTTTATTAATTTATTGTATTTTCCTTGTTTTCATATATAAATTTAGTTTGTAATTTATCCTTTTAGATTTTGACTTTATTATTATGGTTTTAATCATGTTTTTTTTAAAAAAATTTTTTGATTCAATTACATGCCTATAAATTCCTATTACAATTATAAGTCTACTTAGACTTTTCATATCTTATTGTTCATTTAATGGCAAAACAAGGTTAGAACAAGAGATAAAAAATTATAGTTTGAATAAATCTCAAAATTACAAGATCAAAAATAAATTTTTTTGGTTTTTTACTGCTTTTTTTACTAGATAAATGGTGTTTGCTCATTGATTCGAATCTTATGCAATCGAGGAACTATTCTTCTATTGCATTTAGTTTTCGTTTGCCCTTTGACACAAACTACAACACATAAGATATTATCCTTACTATTTTTATTTAATGCCTCTATTGCTAGTGATTTAGCTACTTTTTTATAATTAAAAAAAGACTATAAAAGAGAATTGGTTTTAGAGGTAAATTTAGATTAAAAATCCAATTTTAAAGTTGATTAGGAGATTCAAACCAAGAAAACTCATTTTCCTATTGCAATTGGGATTAGAAGCCTTTAAAAAAACCCTATTAGGATCAATTAAAAACAATCAACAATCAATTGAAAATATCAAGAGAGAAAGAGTAAAAAAAACCAAAATAATTAAGAGTTTTTTAGAGCCTTTTCTTGTGTTTTAGGTTTAGATAAATAACATTTTCTTTTTGGAGTTTTGTGTTGAGGAACACAATAATCAGAGAAAAAAGAAAAAGTAATCGACAAAAGCAAAATCACTGCACTATCTCATCGCCATTTTCATTCCACTGCAAGAGCTCAATTGCAATAATGCCTAGCCCATTCACCATTTTGAAGAAAATTCAAGCTTAATAGTAATGTCCAAATCATCTAGCTGGCCTTTCTCTTTCAAGCTTGGTTAGAATTTTGTTAGGCCTCAATTTATTTTGGATTTCGACTTTGACCTAGTCGAATTAGTATGATATTTATTTTCTTTTATTTATTTTATGCTATTGCTATGGATGTTTTAAAATATATAAAATAATAATAATATTTTAAAAAAAATTAATTTATGATATCTTACAAATGATTCAAGGATTTTTATAGGTTTAGAAATCTTTAAATTATAAATTCTATCAAACTATTGGATAATTTCATTGTAAATTTTAAAAAATAATTTTTCATCATGTCAAATGATTAGAGTATTTAAATATCAAATTATGAATTCTACCAAACGATTAGAGAATTTCAAAGTGAATTTTAAAGAAAAAATAATTTTTTAATCCTACCAAATGATTGAAGAATTCAAAATTCTATTAAATTTTACAAAACTATTAGAGGATTTAATGGCCTTAATTTTTAAAATTTTCATAAAGAAGGTTTTCAAATAAAGTTCTCACCAAACGATTGGGGGATATGCAAATAAAAATCACACCAAACGATTAGAAGATTTTATTAATTATTTTCAAAATAATTATATTAATGAATCAAATGATGGAGCATCTTTAAAGTGGAACACGAGTCTCCATGATTTCTCCTAAGGTGAAAAAATTATCTCAAATTACTACCAAACAATTGGAGTAATTTTAAGAACAATTTTCAAGATTAAATTTACTAAGTAAATTACAAACACATTTTGAAGCTTTTGGATAATATGAAATCATTATTTCATCCTTTAGGTAGGTAATGTGGAGATGCTATAACCTTCTTCACATGTAACTATACTCCTAGACCTAATCATGGTTTCGTAGATATGAATCTACCTTTTAAAGATATCTAAGTCAAGCTTAGGGTATTTTTTTAAAATGGGGCAAATTCAATTAGGTAACCAATCACACCTATATAAAAAGATTGGTGGTAATTGCTATAGTTGTGTTTAGTGATAGGTCCATGGATCTAGATGTTATGATAGTTTAGCGACTCCATTGGGGATGCTAAGAGTTAGGCCAATAAACTTATGTTATCTAAAGCCTAAGTTAAAATTAAGAATTTTTCTTTGAATGTTTTATCTATTTCTAATTATCCCATATTTTGTCATTCACTTGCATCTGCATAACATGAGCTCTATACCCAAGCTCCGTCCCTTAGAAAAGAGTAAAGTACCTATGCTTTCATGAGATTTCATGTCTTTGCCTAGGCTAGCGAAACGCTCTCACTCAAATTTAACCCTTTCTACTTGTAACTTATAATGGGTAAGGATTGGATTGCTTTACTAGTTTGTGATGGACAATGATGTGAGGAACAATTTGAAAACCTTTAGAGTTAACCCAATCCACATGTAGTAAAACATAAGAAACCAACCTTAGGTTAAAGCTATGTGTACCCTTTGTTAGAATATAACCCTTGTTTGGGCATATGAGTGAACTTTTTGTGCTTTATTTTATCTCTTATTTATTGTTAAGTTGTTGTATGTTGTGTATTGTATTCTAATCTAGCATCACTAACATATGTATTCATCAATGCA